CAGAATTCTGACTTTAATCTCGGAATTCTGACTTTTTTTCCTCAGAATTCTGACTTTAATCTCGGAATTCTGACTTTTTTTCCTCAGAATTCTGACTTTAATCTCGGAATTCTGACTTTTTTCCCTCAGAATTCTGACTTTAAACTCGGAATTCTGACTTTTTTTCCTCAGAATTCTGACTTTAATCTCGGAATTCTGACTTTTTTCCTCAGAATTCTCACTGAATTCTGACAATAAAAAGTCAGAATTCTGAGGAAAAAAGTCAGAATTCCGAGATTAAAGTCAGAATTCCAGCAGATTCTGCAACAGTTTCTTCCCCACTGCCATTGGACTGCTAAACTGTTGAAAAAACTCATAAATCATGTCACAGACTCTGCATCACACTGATAACACCAAACCAAAAATACTTCATATTTGCACAATGCATATTTAATGCTCTGAAATTCCATATCAATAAGGTTTTGCACCATGTTTTTTTTTCTCCCACACTGTTTACATTTGATCACTGCAGCACTTTATGGAATGGAAATGTTCATCTACTGTCTGAAAGCTGTACTAACTGAAATTTCATTTTGTATACACTCTATGTATACAAAATTAAAATAAAAGTTATCTAAGTCCTACTGCATTGCTTGTGCAAACCATAGCTCTCATTTTGGCACTTTTTTTAAATTCAAGCATGACCTGTGGATCTCTACAGCTCCTCCAAAGTTACCATGTCCCACATGGCTGCTTCTCTGATTAACAATGCCCTGTTTTTGCTCTCTGTAGTTCAAACCCAATTAAATTCATTTAACCTCTTAACATCCACCTCATTTTGGGAAATTCTCGCCTATTTTGCATACCCAAATGGAAAAGCAAATAACTTAGGAACTGCAAGCCCAAATTACATGTCTGATACAATATTTGAAAGCTAACACCTTCTAGTTTCTAGACATTTACAAGAAAATTGGGTGAGTAAAACACAGCCCAAGCTGCATTAGTTCAAACATGATTCAAAGTTGGGTTTTTTTACTCTCAAAAATAATAGGTATTTTTTGAACTGCAGTTATAAAGACATGCTTGCTTGTTGTAGCTGCTTTCTCATGCTATATTTCAACATGCTGCTTTATGTGATAATTGTGCTTTGGTGCTCGCTATGTCCATAGAATGAACTCGGTGGTTGGATTGTGGAGAATCTAAGCTTTCCAAAGATGTCTAGAATATCTATATAGGTAAACGTTTTATTAGTGTAATTTTTCATGCATTCTAAGTTATTATTTATAAACGCTTTAAAACGGTGGGTTTTGAGAGGTTAAGTAAAAACCCATTTCCACAAGCTACAATTTAACAGATTAATGCCCACAGGACAGTTGGTTATTAAATGAGAAAACTGACTGTGCACAGTAGACAGCAGGGGCGGAGCTAGATGGGGGGCCAGGGGTGGCCATTTACCCAATCATTGGCCACTCCTACCATTTTTTCCAGCAGTAGCAGCTGTAATACTCTCAATTGGAAGGTTCTAACTTATTTATTTAATTATGCACATCAATATAATGACATTAAAGATAAATACAGAATTCATGCTCTTTTCAGAACTAAAGAGAAAACTATGTCTCTGCAAGTCATCTGGGAATCTTCACTGAAATCAGAGATAAATAACTTATTACATATAAATTAGCCTATTAATTGCCATTCGACTGCTGAATGTTGTGTAAAATGGGTTATTTTGTATTTATAATAAAAGATTATGTTATAACTGTAAATATACACTCATATTTATATATTACTTTTTATGTATTTATCACTGTTTTTCAAGGCTGCACTTTAAAAAATGAAATTGTCTTTTTGTAGACACCCGTGTCTACAAAATGACAAAAATAAATCTGTCTAAAATAACTTCTTTAATAATAAGCAATCCATTTAATGTAGATGTTAGTACGTGTAAATATTAATTTTATGCAGAATGATTATTAATAGAAGTAGGTGAGTAATGATAAAAAATAAGATGTTCGTCCCGGAACTCAAACCTGAAAGAATTTTTTTCCACTACACCTTTAATTTAGACAGCATAGATGTTTAAATATACGCTTCTATTTGTTAGTTTATCTTCATTTAGAAAATATTGATGTTGACCCTGAGGTTCTGGTGCCTACCACTTTTGGCCCCCCCTCAGTGTGCATTGGTTATTGCCTGGCCACCCTTATTAAAATTTTCTGGCTACGCCTCTGGTAGACAGGGAAAAAAGTGCATACTCAGCTGTTTTATATGAAATTGGGTCACACAGAAGAAAAAAAACACCTACCTGTGTGAAGTAGAGGTTAAGCAGGCAGAGTGTGAAGAACTGCAGGCATACAGGGCAGCAGTAGAGCAGCCAGTAGGCCAGAGGCTGCAGCTGGCTGGCCTGCACCACATTTTTAAAGTAGAAAGAGAAGAGGGTTGTCCGCAGCGCTGCCCACAGCAGACACAGGAACAAAAACACGCTCTGGTAGCTGAAGCGCTTGTGACCGTAATGCAGGATGAGCCAGAGCTGCAGGTAGACAAAAACAAAGAGGAAAGAGTAGAGCACGGTGTAGACGGTGGTCAGACTGAGCTCCAGTGTTGGGGAGATCGCATCTCCGGATGACTCCTTCAGTGAGGTAAACAAATCGGATTCGACCTCCTCTCCTGGCGAAAACATCTCCGCTCCAAGATGCTTGAGAAGGAGGCTAAAAGTGGGTCAGACCTGGGTTACATTCACCGTGGATTGAAAAAACGCGACGATATTCGAGCGCAAAAATGAGATAAAAACAGTTTCTTTTAGAAAGAAGTGACATTATTAACCTAAGAATAGGGTTTCAGATTTAGGGAGAACTAGTAATGATTCGACATTTAAAATTTGCGAAGTTAAAACAGAAAAAAACAACAAGAAGAAGCGAAAGAAAACAAGAGAGGTGCTTCTGTGATTGTCTGCAAAGCAGCTCTCTCTGCAAAAAAACAACTTGAGAGGGGGGGGGACCTACAGATCAGCTGTGATGCAGTTTTAGACCAGCCCCTTGTTTCCAACGGAAGCGGAAACTGGCTCCCGTTGGTCGCCATCTTGGCTCCGGGCGGCCGTTACCTATAAAAGCAAAAAGCTTTCTTTAGAGCCGTAAAATCAAGCTAGTTTCCGACTACGTTTCCGGTCAAAGAAAAAAGGTCACGCCCCCTGTTCCACTCTGCAATTCTATTGGCTGTTCCTGCAACCAGCCTCCACAAAAAATCAATGCCATTGGTTTTTAATGATGTCAGCTGTGAATGCGCATGACCTGCTATTAAATATATTATTATATGTTTAATAAAACAACCAATGGTATTCTGGATTCATCAGGCGCAAAAAAGCAATAAGTGTTGTTTCTGGCAAGAAGCTTTGACAATTCGCAAGATGATAAGTAAAATCTAGGTTCTTTTTTGTCAGAACTTCAAAATAAGAGCTTACAGTTTCTCTATTCAAAAAGAAAAAGCCGAAGCCAAAAAAAGCAACTTGTCTTCTTTTATAAATAATTAATAGAAATTAATAACGAAATATAAGTCTTAGTGAATAAGTTTTAGCCACTAAAAATAGTAGCGTGCCAATTTTGTTTTGAAAGGATTACAGGAAACGATGCGATTACTGTTAACTTAACGTATTTTCCTCAAATCGTTGAGCATCTTGGTTTTAGTAGGTTTTGGCAGCGTTAATCGATTAGATTAACCAGGACTAACACTTGTAGCTGGTTAAGTTTGCAGTTTGCTTCTATCATAAACGAGCTCCTTCCAGAATGTTCTAAATTAGCAACAAGTAGCCATGGGCTAGCTTACAGGCTGCTAATAGCCAATGAAGCTGTCTTTCGTGATAGCTGAGCTGAGGTTATGGAACCTCTTTAAGGTTTTTTTCTTAATATAAAAGTAGAATGGCTTCTTCAAACTTTTCAACGACTTTTAAACTCTGACTCGACTTTTAAAGCGACCTTCCCCAGCGTTTTCTTCTCAGGTAAAAACCAGGAGTTTCTTAACCCCCGAAATATATGAAGTTGGTGTCACAACTGTAGTAGGTTTTATGTATTTATGCAGAAACCTTAAAGCGTCAGAAAAGGAGACCGTTTTGGATATTTGAGTTTATTAAACCTCAAATTAGAGTCGCAAATTCACTGATAAATCATTTTTTGGATGAAGTGTGACTGATTCTTTCTCAACCGATTTACTGCTGTGTTTTGGTCATGGTTCCAAATCAAGCCCAAATCATTACTCCTCCGCCTCTATGCTTAACTATTAGTATTAGATGTAATTAAGCATGTGCTTGTACTTCTTTTTTATTTATTTATTTATTTTTTTTCGTCAAACACCAGACAGTGTTTTATGGCTTAATATCTCTACTTCTTTCTTGGTCCCTAAAATAGGACTTAGACAAACTTTATTGTGAATTTTGAATGCCCAGAATGCATACAAAACGAAATGTCGTTCCATACAGTTTATGATGTAATGGGATTACCATTGAAATAAAATAACACAATCTAAAAAGCAGCAGTGATGACTATTAAATGTTGATTGGGCTTACACTGGAGGTCTTCAACAGGGGGGTCCACAGAGGTACTGCATGGGGGTCGCAAAAGTTTTGGTTGATTATACGTTTTTTTCATTTTTATATTCCCCCCTGCAACTTTTTCTAATTGAAATGTCTTTAAATAAACATTAACATGAATTCAACACACTGTAGTAAACAGATAAATGGAGGCAGAAGATGTCTTTCAGTCATCAATGCTCACATTCAGCGACACACAGGAGCTCTTTCAAGCTGGGCACCGTTTCATTCACAACACCTGTCCCATCAACCAGGAATCAGAATCAGAAATACTTTAATAATGCCAGGGAGAAATTACTTTCTTTACATTACTCCATCTGTAATAGAGTGACTATAGAACTAGTTTGATAGAACACTATTTTATACTATATATAATTAGGTGCCCCCCCGCTTCATCTCACCATCAGTTTGGGGGTCCTTGGCCTGGAAAACATTGAAGACCCCTGGCCTACACAAACTATTTATATTTTAAACTTATATCTGTCTCTTAATTCCCCATACCATTTATGATTAAATAATCAGATTCTTTCACAATATTCATATAAAAAAAAAAAAAAAAGTCAGCTGTTGGAACGGACCTGTGCCTGTGCCGGGTGCAACACCTCTTAGAGACGGTTCTAACATGTCCATCCATTCATTTAACAAACCAGCTTCCTTTTTTGTGTGTTAATGAGCGTATTATTCAGATAATTTGTACTTTATAAAAACTTAATGGAAAAAATAAACCGCAAATCTGTGCTCTCTAAAAAATACACAAAAAAAAACATGCATACCAAAATGAAACATGGACATTTTAAAAACTTTTTTAAATACTACTTTTAAAACAACATATTTAAATGTTAATGACAACAGAAGAGCACACTTATCCGAAATATCTGTTAAACTTTCACATACATATAGATATATACATATAGCTGTGGAATCTTTTGCACATCCATCACTACAGCTGTTCAAAAGGATTTTAGAACATGCTAACCATGTAATGAACCAACCAAAGTGATCCAAACAATTAAACCAAACGGACTATTAATTAATTCATAAAAAATGCTTTGGACAGTATGACAAAAAATGCACCACATGAATAAATTTACACCTCAAAAAACCCTTTTCCCAATGAATCATGATGATTTTTTAAAATCTCTTATGTTCTGCTGATTAGAGGGAGCTTCATAAGCATTTGCAGTCTTCCCTATATTTCCAGACATCTGATGGTTTAAAGTCATATTCTGTTAAGGAATAAAAAAACTTTCTCCTGCCATCCTATCATTCTTGTTTAGTGTTAAAAGCTCTATCTATTTGTTCTCCCAGTGATACAATAATCCTTTTTTTATCTTTGCCACTCTGTATTAGCTCTCCTGGGTGCAGTATTTCAGGATGTGGCCTTGTATTGCTGTCGTCCTGCTGTGGATCCGGTCAGCAGGAGGCACAGAAAAGGCCAATACGTCGAACCATATTGAATACACAGCTGCCGATTTCTACGAAAGGCTGCTGTCCGGGAAGATGATGTTCCTCTATTTTGAGCAACAAGGTAAGCACGCATTTCTGTTAGCAAAACACAGGAGATCACTGTGTTTATTTTTAGGTAAAATACAGTTCAAACAGCTTTAAGCGCATAGAAAACATTTTGTGTCCACCAGGGCTCTCTCATAGTCAGAAAAGAATCCGATTATTACAGTTTTCATATAAAATCACAGTGAATAAATGGTGATCACATGACTGACCTCTTTTTAAGACACGATCAAGATCATACCTAAAAGGTTCTTAATGTTGATTCAGTCAAACAGATAAATCCTCCTTCTCCCCTGTCCCCTCCAGTGTCTCCCACCGTCTCTCTGTTCTTGTTGGAGCTAGAGAAGTCAGCCGAAGCTCTGCGGGATTATGGAATACAAGTCGGCAAGGTGACAG